AAAACAGAGAGTTTTGCCAGGTTTGATTGCATAAAAGATGGAAGAATATATATTATTGAGCAACTGTTGTGGCTATTAAATAGCCTTACACTAAAAGAAGGAAGAAACAACCACCCATGATTTAAAATCCTATAATCGTGGTGCATGACTACTTTAACAGAATAACAATCTTGTTCCTCAAGTCAAGGAGGAATTATTCAACTTAACAGAAATAAGCTTAAAACAGAGGAACTTTGAATCTAACGATAATTCATTAGAGAGAGAGTAGCACAACAATGAGAATAGTTTAAAGCATGCATGTGATACTGGAATGGTGTCTAGTGAAGTCCCTTTGGACAGTGAGGACTCTAATAATCCAATGAGCTCTGACTTTGTAAGCTCCGAGTCACCTCCAAGACTTGATGATCTTGCAGCGAGTTTCCGGGTCTTCTCGGAGTCAATGGCAAGAATGCACCTTACAGAGAGGGAGATGATCAAGGCAAGAGAGGCTTGAAGGTTGGAGGTAGAGAAAATAAGGATGGAGTTGGAGGCTGAGTTGACTAGAATGATGTTGCAGACTCAGTTGTAGATTGCTTCGATTGTGGTCGGGAAAGGAAGTAGAAAACAGGAGATAAGGTTAAGGGAGTTGCTTTAGCTAGCGACACATTCTTTCTTTATGCTTGGAACGATGCAGTTGAGGAGGCATGTGAAGCTGGCATTGATGTTATTACAGAGTATGGTGGTCGCATCAAGAATACGGACGCCATAGAATGCTGCAACAGTATGTAAAAAAAAAAATAGAGAGAGAAATCCACGCATACCTACGAAGACTGATGGAGGCTGTGCTGACAGCAAAACGAGAAGAAAAAAAACACTTGCAGAAGCTCATTTATTTATAAGGTTGAGATGGTAGAATTGCTTCGGCACTCATGTCAGATGAATTTTAGAGCAATGGGAGAACTTACAATGTTTGCAGAAATAAACCAGAGCTGAGAGAACACCAAATGAGCTATCAATTCAAGACTGAGAATATATCATAATTTATGGCAGTAGTGATTAGGGAGCACTGGTGATAAGGATGTTGAATCCCTTGCGGCAACTTCAACCATGAATATGCCTGATGAACAAGGAATTTGCAATTTTGGACCACTGGTTCGAAGATCATGTATATTCACACATAAAGCTTGAGAAACTACGTGAATGAGACTAGTTCACAGACTGAAACAACAAAGTTGAAATTATGCTGCAATTGGTTTGTAAGCATGATTGACATCCAAGTTAAGGTTTTGCAATGCTGACAACTATAAGAAGAATGATTAAGTGGAATCTATATCGCATCCAAACTTCAATCTTTGATGAGATTCTGCATATAAATCATGTGGAATCTGTCTACAACAGATGAATACATCCAATTCTATAGGCGTTTGATTCTATCTACAACTCATAATTATATTCTGCATACATACAAAAAAAAGAGGTGCAGTTGTAATAAAACAAGAGAAGGAATGGGGACATGCATACCAGGACTGCTGTGTGGAGGCTACACTATTAGTGAAGAAACAGAAGTATTGCTAGGTTGAGGCTGCACTGTTAATTAAATTCAAACTTAAGCAGTACCACACTTGGTTTAATGATATCACAAAGCAGTCACTTAACCCGAAATTGTTTTGCTTGACCTTTGGCGGACCAGTTCTGCCCGTAGATGCTGACAAACACTTGACGATCTTCACAAAGCAGCCAAAGAGTTTGATATTGATTTTTGAAGCGAGACGTTTGGTTGCCAGGTTGATGCTACACGGTTAATAAAAGAGCAACATGGAGGGCTGCATGGTTGGTAACAGGAAAAGAGCAATGTAATGCTCTTTTATAGCCGTTTTAGTGATTCTTTCCTAATCTAAAAAAATCTTTCTTATTCTGTGAGAGCAAAGTCAGCTTCCAGTACATGAAATTGTTTTGTTCTTTTTCTTAACAATTCATTCACGTTGAACAATTCATTCAGAAAAAAAAAGGTCAATTAAGCGAAGTCAAGCTACCAGTATTAGAGGGTTTATTGCTTTGTCCAAGCAGTTGATTCACTCTAATCAATTAATTCAGGAAAGAAAGTCAATTAAGAAGCAATTTATGTGAAGAAGTTATTTTGCTCCCTGGACATTATTTCAGGAAAAGGTTGAAATTAATAAAGGATGGAGGGCATGGTTCCCAAGGCAATGAGAAAAGGGAGGTGCAACTTTTATAATTCATAGCTCATTAACCACTGGCTGGAATCATGGACGGATTGCATCGTTGGATTCAAAACAACGAGATTTTTAAAACAAGATGTTATAGTGACCACTTCCAATGAAAAAAATTCTAGTAAGCCGGTTAAAGTATTGGGTGTTATTCAGTTATAAAGATAAATTTTTATTATCCTTGAATATGCAATAGTTTTAAATAAGGTATTGGACCTGAATATTCTGTCACTTGATTTGATAAATCTCAATGATGATTGATCTATAAATTTTTAATTTTAACTATTATATTTTATTTTTATAATAAAATTTATTTGTTTATTGTGAAAATTTAGTATGGTCAAATCAAATTTTAATAAAAAATATAAAACCCTCTCAATCATATTTTTCAAGACATGCCTACTTGTTTCAAAAGCAAGTGAATTTGTCTCGAAGGGGCATTTGTAGAAACACAAATTTTCTACCAATCAAATTTCACCATGTGTTATTTTATTTTTTAAACGAAAGGATAAAATAAAATTAAAATAAATGACATTGAAAATAAATGAACCTTCATATATTTCTTGGCCAATGAAAAGTTTACACTCGAGATGAGATATTCAAGATATCTTATCATAAATACAAGATCCCATCATATATTTTTTCATAAATACAAGATCCCGTCAATAAATATCAACCAATAAAATTATACCATGTGGCATTGGAAACGGACTTGAGAACCCCTACAGATCTCTATAAATAGAGGACTTCAACCTAAAGGATGGGGATTCCGGGAGATACAAATTTCCTTTAAGACAAGCTTTGTAAGTAAGGAAGCTCTCTTTCTCTTTCTTCAAGCAAGGAAGCTCTCTCTCAAAGAGTTCTCAAGCCTCCTTCATCTACACTCGAAATCTACAAAGAACGAAACTCTATTGGATCAAGCCAAAACGCGCCATAAAAGTTCTTCAACACCACTTTGAAAACAAATCAAGGTACGTCTATTGGATCAAGCCAAAACGCGCCATAAGAGTTCTTCAACACCATTTTGAAAACAAATCAAGATATGCTTCAAAGCATCAAATCACAATATCTCGCTTTACAATACATGCCCAAATTCACGTTCTTACAAAGCATAAATCTTGGCTTGATTACTTAAATAAATCAAGTCACCATACATCAAATCTAATGTATTCGAGTTGTGGAGCAAATCAGAATTTTTTATTATACATGGCTAATGTTTTGGATCCACATTTTTAGTTGAAATATGTGAAATTTTGTTTTGGTGAGTTGTATGATTATGACAAAACATAATTACTGACAAAAAAAGTGAAAGATAATTTGGTGAGCTTGTATGAGTTTTATTTGAAAGCCGATGAAGTGGAGAATGATAATAGGCATAAACAAGATGTTTAATAATAATGCTATTGATGACATGGAAGTAGATGTTAACACTTGAGCTTGGTTCAAAAGGCACTTACTAGAGAAAGATAGTGTGGAAAATAGAAATGACGTTGAGAGGTATTTGGTTTGGTTGTGAGGATCCTAGTGATGATAAATTAGATATTTTAGATTGGTGGAAGATTAATGCTTCAAAATACAAGATACTTTTGAAAGTTGCATAACATGTTCTGGCTATTCCTATATCCACAATGACTTCTGAATAAGCCTTTAGTATAGGTGGTCGTATTTTCGACCAATTTTGAAGTTCTTTATCTCTAGCAACAGTTTAAACACTTATTTATTGTCAAAATTGGTTGCATCATAGTTCAATTTCAACTGATAATACAGCCTTGATGAATGATTTTGAAACCTACGAAAACCTTGAATCAAGTAATGTTTCTTAAAAACTTATAACTTTAATTTTATGATTTATTAATTAATAAATTTTTATTCTAACATGTTTAATATTTTATTTTGTAGAATTTGGTGAAAAATTGCATATAGCAACGAATGATAATTAATTCACAAATTGTGATGCATTTATTGAAAACACATGGTTTAAATATCTTTTTTTATTTTTATATCTTCTAATTTAATTTGTCATGTTATAATTCTAGATAATGAATTTTAGGAATCAAAGTGCAATGCTCTTAAAGTGTTTTTTTACTGAGATAATGTGCACATAAAGATTTATTTTTTGAGACTTGGAGTGTTATATGATAATATTATTTATTATTTTTTCATTAAGCTGTTTGAAGGTAATGATCTGTATTTTGGATTTTAACCTATTGGTGTGTAATTGTGAGTGTGTTTTATTTATTTAAACTTTTTGGAAGTAAAAAAAATATTAGTAAGTTAAAAAATATATTGAATACAAGATTGACATTAATAATTTCATATAAATAAATATTCATTGACCAAAAAATATAATAAATATAAGATTGACAATAATAATTTAATAAAATTAAATATTTAGAGATAAAAAATTAAATATATTTGGAATCTTAAAAAAAATGAGACAATATCAACATTAATTGTAAACCCAATAAAAATTCATTAGAAATCCATTATAAAGTCAAAAAAATCCAAAAAATACATATAGATTTTTCTGATTTTTTATCCAAAAAACAAAACCAAAACTGATCCTAAATCAGCTAGTTTGAGCCGATTCCAATTTGATTTTGAGCCTTTTTTTTCTTTTTATTTGGTTGCTTTTCGAGTAAAAACTAAATCAACAAAAAATGATTCCCATTACTAATTTTTATTTAAAGTTTAATGGACCCGCTATCACATAATTTTTCCATGAACGACATGGCACTCATGTAACGGAACGACAAGTTGGCCAAAAGGATTCAAAATTAAGCTGCAGCCAGCAGGTCACCAGAGCCTAGAAGGTCCGTACTCTAAACCCAAAGATCCAGTGAGCGGAAGAAAACCGATTAAAACAGAAAAGAGACAGAAAAGCATGGGAGGCAGCGATGGGATCTTGGGGATGAAAGGAGGGGAAAGAAATAGCAATGAAAAATGGGTAAAGAGACGAGAGAGATGGTTGATAATACTTGGTATAGTCCTTCACGCAGTTTATATGCTAAGCATATTCGATATCTACTTCAAGACCCCAATTGTTCATGGCATGCATCCTGTCAAGCCTCGCTTCAAGGACCCTCCTGCTAAACGTCTTGTTCTCTTAGTTGGTAAAAATAGCATTTTGTGTTTTGTTTTCGAAGAACTCTCGCCTTTAGTTATATCCTGATAGTGATACTAATTTTTGTCAGCGGATGGTTTACGCGCTGATAAGTTTTTCGAGCCCGATTCGGAGGGTAATCACAGAGCACCATTTCTGAGGAATATTATTAAAAACCGAGGTAGATGGGGAGTATCTCATGCCCGCCCTCCCACGGAATCAAGGCCCGGACACGTTTCTATAATTGCTGGTTTCTACGAGGATCCTAGTGCTGTCACAAAAGGTGGATTTAGTTACTGCTATCAATCGATTTTATATATATCTTCTGCATTTCACCTTCCATTGATGATTTGGTATTGATTTACATTTGCAGGATGGAAAGCTAATCCTGTTGAATTTGATTCAGTCTTCAACCAAAGCAGGCATACATTTGCCTATGGTAGCCCCGATATTGTTCCAATATTCTGCGGTGCCCTTCCACACAGCACATGGAAAACCTACCCTCATGAATTTGAAGACTTCGCAACTGGTTTGTATCAACCTCTGCACAAATTAATCAATTCATTTATTGACTGAACTCCCTAATGGGAAAGCTCATTAGCAATAAATATAACATTACGAATCAAGCTGTTTTTACCTCTTGTCCAATGTTTTTATTAATACAATAGTGTCAATGCAGATGCTTCCTTTTTGGATGAGTGGTCTTTTGATCAATTTCAGAGCCTTCTGAATAGGTCCACCCAGGACCCAGAGTTGAAGGAGTTACTTCTACAGGATAATCTTGTTATATTTCTGCATTTACTTGGCTGTGATTCAAATGGGCATGCACATCGCCCCTTTTCTTCCATTTATCTCAATAATGTCAAAGTTGTGGACCACATTGCGGAACGAGTTTATTCTCTCCTTGAACATTACTACAAGGACAATCGCACATCATATATATTTACAGCCGATCATGGAATGAGTGACAAGGGTTGGTACTCTCTTGTATTTCCACTTGAGAATTTTCTCTGCTTCTTTGCAATTTATCAATTTCTGTGTTTTCCGACCGTTTACATGGTAATTTCGTGAATGATTGTGGACTTATTTGTATGTAAATGAACTGAGCTGGTTTCCAATAGCTTCACCAAATTCATGTTCGGGCCATAATTCAAAGTGTGACTTCCAAGGCCTAAACTCAACATGATTAAGATGCTTTCTGGTTTTCTGTCCATGTGCTACTTTATGCCCTTTGGTCGGGTCAATTTTCATCTCTTAAGAATTCTGTTTATGGTTCCCTTTCGAGTTACAGATGCTGACATGCTATGGTTCTACCCAGGTAGTCATGGAGATGGGCATCCTTCAAATACAGATACTCCCCTTGTTGTCTGGGGGGCAGGTGTCAGATATCCCAAGCCAATCTCTAGTAGCAACAACTCTGATCATGGTGTTTTTGTTGATGAACATGCACATGACATGCCAACTCCTGTAGATTGGGGCTTGAATGGCATTGAAAGGGTGGATGTGAATCAAGCTGATATTGCACCCCTCATGGTTTTACATTTTCCTCTTTGAAATGTCGTGTTTGAGCATTACTTGATTCTTTATATCTCCTTGTTTGTTACCTGTCTGATATACTAATCATCTTTTATGCCAGTCAACACTTCTTGGCCTGCCATGTCCTGTTAACTCAGTTGGAAATCTGCCGCTTGGTTATGTAGATATGATTGAGGTCAGCATGCCTTAAATGAGTGATGATGAAAAGAAGTCATTGTTATATTAAGGGTGCTAGAATGTTATTTTTGTATTGGATGCATTATGATATAGATCGAAACCATAGTGACTGCAAGTGAATAGAAATTTGAAGGATATTATTTATTTGCTATAATTTCCAGGGAGAAGAATGCAGCATCATTTATGAGAATTTCATTTATGAATTGAAGTTGTCAAACTAAATACAACACTTAAATTGACATTATCTACTTCTAAAATCCAGGCTGAAGAAGTTGAAGCTGTTCTAGCTAATACAAAGCAAATCCTCAACCAGTTTCTTTGCAAATCAAGTATCCTTTATCAGTTCTACTTGTCATTGACATTACAAGCACGTTACATGCAGACTTTAACGCAATATCTTTCAGTTCCTACCAAAAACTCAAAATATTTGTGTGCTTTTGGTAATTAGCAGTGATTTTTTTTTTGGTTCAGTGTCATGCATTTTATATTCAGATACGCAATGCAAAATGATGAGGAGTGAAGAAAGACAAAAATGTGAATTAATATTTGATTATTTAAGGATTTTATTTATTAGAATTTTATTGTTATTTAGGAATATTAGTATTTATTATTTATTGGATAAAATAAGAATGTGGTAGATTTAGTATTTTGGTAGGTTTTCCTTTTCAGATTAGGATTTTACTTTTTCCACTGTTATTGGGATTTACCTTTTGTATTTCTATTTGTTTAGATTCCAACAACCCTACCTAGAAATTCAAGTAATGCTATGAATACTGATGGATCAAATAAATAGAGTTTTATGAAGAATGGGATCCCCAAATTGTTTGTCCTTGTGTTCTTGATGGTGGTTTTACATCAAAAGACAAATATAAACTAACATTTGAAAGTAATTGAACCAGTTTTCCCAAAGTGTTTTGGTTTGGTTATCTGTTACTATCAAACTAAAGAAATTTTGAATATGTTATTTTGTGTCACAAAAAGCAGGTAGCGTATGCTTGTCTTTTGAATTGTCTTTTCAGATTTTGAACTTTGAAGTGCAATGCAGTGCCATGATGGTAATTAAATGGCCTCACATCTCTTAATTTTTTTTTCCTTTTCTTAATGGGATACAGCTTTGGCTTTCGAACTGAGTTTGTTTCCATGTGCACCCATACTTTTCTTGTTTGTATATAGTAACACATCTGTAATTATGTATCAGTACAACTTTTAATAGACTGGGTCCTAGTAAGTTTTGTGCTCATGGCATTTTAGAGAAAATATATACTCAGAAAAAAAAAAGAAAAAACAATTGGTTGATTCTTCTCAGTTTGAATATTTTGAAACCCACTAGTTAGAAGTTTATTTGAATGAAATTTTGCTTGTACTTTGATCCCAAGTTACTAAACTAACAAAACTGAAGTTGTAAAATTCATCTGTTGCTGAAACTTATTGAACAGTCCCCTGCAAAACTTTATAATCTGTGCTGTCCATAGTATCTTCAACATATTGTCCTTGGATGCTTGCAGATAATTGTCCAATGATGTAATTGAGTTTGCTATGTGATTTCTTAACTAACTTAGAAATAAAACAGTCAAACTCCTTATATTTCAAGCCTTTTAAACTACTGGCTCATCATTCTGCTGCATTAGAACACATTGAGTATCTAGTATCTATCAGAGACTATGGAACTGCAATGATGCTGGCTCAGAACCTCAGAAGCTTGGCACTCGAAGGACTTCAATATTTTCAAACCTATGATTGGCTTATGCTGATGACTGTAGTTACTCTTGGGTACATTGGTTGGATAATCTGCCTTCTTCTCCATATTCTGCAATCTTACACTTCATTGGCAGATGTATTTAAGAATCCTCATGATGCATGGAAGAGAAATAATAAGATGAAGGTAATATCTAAAAAAGCTTGAGCTCTTAGAAAGTGTATATTATGTTAAAAGAATAAGAGAAAATGATGAATATTTCTTGTTTCATTTCTGTTGGCTTGTTTATCAATCCCAATATCACTATTTTCATCACTACTTGGCTATCAAAGGAAATTTGTTTGATATCAATGGTTTTTCATCAAGAATGCAATAATCCTTGAACATTAAACACTCTGGGTTCTTGGTCATTTTTCAGCCCGTTTCTCTGTTGATGATGCTAGCTGAAAGATGTTTTTGAATTGTCACAAGCATTTCAGTGGAGAAAATAAAAGGATATTGTTTTTTGTTATCTTATTTCCCGGCAAGATGTAAATATACCTAATCATATACATTAATGTCAGCACAAAACTGAGCGATAGTGAAGAAATGCAGTCATCATTCGTCATCCCTCTTTTCTTATCTACCAATCATTTTTTTTTTCAACTTCAAATGTTTTAAAATGTTGAAAATACTTTCCTCTTTTTATTTGACAATGAGTATTATGGTCTGCAAGTCTTATTCCAACATGTGCTTTTTGTTGCATTATTCTGTCTTCCCTTCACTAAATTTCTATTTTTTTTTGTTTTTGTTGCAAGGCTCTCTAGTGGGATCTATTTATGCTAAGTGTTGGTTTAATTGTCACTAAGTTTTGTTTCTTGAGATTATGCATTATGTAACTGGCTTATCAAATTCTTTTTAGCAGGTATATCTGTTTGGTTGTCTGTTGACGGGAGCAATTTCTGTTTTATTATTCATGGAGCGCTCTCCTCCCATGTACCATGCATACTTTTCCATGACAGTTTTTCTGTGGACCCGGATAGTGGGTGAATATCAGTTTATAAAAACTTTGTGCCGATGGTTAAGTTGGGGAAAGTATAATTTTATAATTAAGATTTTGGCTGCTTCTGCTGTATCAATATTCATCCTTGAATTCCTGGTAAGGGCATCGTTCATGCTATTTCCTATCTAACCATGTGTAGGTTGTAAGTTTAGTTTTCTGAGGCTACATTATTTGTATTTTGTTCAGGTGAATAGTTTCACAGAGAGGAAGCTCTACACATGGTGTTTTTTTATTATGGGGATTATAGCTGCTTTTTATCTTTTTCATGCAATTCCCTGGAGATCTGGCATACCGATTTATGTCTGCTGTGCATGCTGGTTTCTGTCTGTTTTTACTTTGATGCCAGCTGACATTCCTGATAATAATGGACTAGTGTAAGCCCTTTTGAGTTTGTTCATTTGGTTGGTTAGTTATGAAGTCTTGCTGTGGTCAAAATGTTTTCAAAGGAATTATAACATTATCTGCATATCAATAATCTTTGAGTCATGTCTAAAATGTGTCTCCTTTGATTTCCTTGATGATTAATTATTGTAGTGGAAAAGAGGGGTGAACTTCTATATTGATATGATGGTAAAGTTCCCGCAATTTTGATAAACAAATGTTCTTATTAATGATAAGCTTATAATTGAACATAAATTATGTATTGAAATTCCTATTGCAATCAACAATTCTGATCTTACAATCAAAAGGAAAAAAATTATCTCCAAAGACTTCTGCTCAATATGAGTTATATAAATGTATCAAACATGTCTTTTGATTGATTGTCTACAATGTCAGAAAAGTCTTACAAATTGAAACGTGTGAAAAATTGAAAAATGTTAAATCATTTTTATCAGGTTTATTACTTTCATTTGAGGTGGTCATGCTGTATGAAACCGTGTATGTAGGATTGCGAGTGGAGCTATTATTGTCATTACAGGAGCAGCTGCAAGGTGGCTAGATCAGCATTCTGAAGGGAATAAGTATTGGCTGCGGATCTGCTACCACAAAATGGAGAAACCCAGGTCCCCAGTTCTATTTTTCTTGCAGGTGTAACATGTCTTTAATTTTTTTTTTGAAACATATGTTCCATAATTCAATTGCCTAACATCTCTGAAGGTCATCTCATGTTTTACATGAAAATTAGGTTCTTTTGGTTGGATTATCATCAGCAATGGTGTCATTATCAACATCTCATAGAAAAGAGAAACAAGAATTGCGTGCCGTACACCAGTTAATAAATTGGTCTATTGCCGGTATACTTTTGACTCATTTCTGCTTTTCTCTAGTGTTATTTAGGCTTTTGTGTAAAGTTTCTTGAAATTTGTATGCAAAAATTCCATTTTCCTTTATTGTTTTTCTAGAAACACAATATCCTTCTTACAACTCAACCCCTATTATGGTGTTTTCTCCTCCTTTGAATATATAATGTATGTTCGTATCTCTAGCCTCTGTGTTTACATAGGGAAAAGTTTGTATCACAGAGCCAGTGTATCTTAATGTCATCTACAGTTATTTTTTAGTGAATGATTTACATTTGCTGGTGACGACTCATGTATAGGGAACATCAAACCCACTCACTGTGTACAATACATATCAGTTTTCTTTTTATTGCCTTGTATAAAGGTAAAGGCTGTGATGCCATACTTAAACCATTTAAATGACATGTCATTTGCTAATTCTTGGAATTGTCTTATTACAGGTTTCTCAATGGTTCTCCCACTTTTCTCAGAGAAGAGCCTCTTATCACGGCTGACCTCTATATTTCTTGGTTTTGCACCCACATTCCTGCTTCTATCTATTGGGTATGTCCAAAGATTTTAAGCTTCAATTCTAATTTAGCACTTTTGTTATATGCAAAAAGTTAAAATACACATTTATGATTTTCTTTCACTGGGTGCTTTTTCTTGAAATCCAAGTAGATATGAAGCTGTCTTTTATGGTGCACTTGCTCTTGTGCTTGTGGCATGGATACTATTTGAGAACACAATTCTCCATTTGACAAAGGTCGCAAAATTGTCAGCTTCCATGAAAAGAACTGGTGAAAAAACCATGCTTGAAAATGATGTTAGATACTTGCAGCTTTCTGATGTGAGAATTCCATTAATTTTTGTAAGTCTCATCCCATTTCACCTTGACTTCCTCTTCCAAATTTCTTCCATAATTGGGATTGATATGGTGAATAAACATGAAGTAGATATTCCAATTCATGCAATGTGTATGGTATGATACCATATATGCTCATTGTGAATATCATAAATCTTTATAATTCCTCGAATTATGCTTATTGATTTAAGCAAAGCGCTTAACAATTTTTATACAAAAATTTAGATTTAGTTTATGGGTTTAATTTAGAGTGGTGCATAATTTGTTGGAACGTAGTAGATTAGTGAAGTTGGTGCTTTCCTTAGAATTTATTTTATTATTTCTCATATTAGGGGTATTTAATTTAATTTAGGTATTTGGTTAGTATTTGCTTTTTGAATATTTTTGTTGAAGGTTAAGTTGTTTTGCTTGGTTATCAAGACTAGTGAATCCTCATGCTATTAGGATCTAGAGCCTAAACTAGTATAAATATGCTGACAGGGTTATTTCAAAGAATTTATCAATCTATTTAGATTTTAGAGGTTTCTTGGTGAACTCTAAACCATGTTTATCTTTTTCCAACTTCAATATTATTCATGTTTTAGCCCTTATTTTCCTTTATTTGCTGTTTGGATTGTTATCCTCTTCCCACACTACACAAATTGGCAGCAGAGCAAGGCAAAAATGGTTAATGTTTTCGTACACCCCTATACTCTTAATATTCTTAAAAGGTCCCACTACAATTTTGTCTAAATATCAACCTTATACATTACATTTAAACCATTGTTACCCTCTTTTATCAATTGGTGTTATTGACATGTGACTTGTTTCATGTGGCTATAACATGGAATTTTTCTTGAAAATTCAATTTGATCCTTGTATTTTCTTTTTCATTAAGACTTTAATTGAAAGTTTTTTGGTCACTGTACTATACAGTAAATATAATTTAGTCCTTAAATGAATTTTTTTTTCCGATTAAGTTCATGTCAAATTGTAAACTTGGTCAAAATTAGTTAAATAATTTAGATAGATTGATGTATTTTGAAGTGTTATTACTTTGATTTTGACTTTTTTTCTCATATTATCGTACATATATTATTTTGAAGAAAACTTTGTTTCCCATGGTATCATATATCTATTTCAGGAATTGTTTGTCTTTTATTTTTTTATAATTTGTCTTGATTTTTTAGGTTTAAATTAGAAAAAATAAATTAATAATTTTTTTTATAATGATAGATAACAAAAGGTTTATTTTTTAAATGGGTATGAAAACAAAAGCTAAAAGAGATCAACCTTTCCCTTTAGGGTTATCATATTGATCAATGACCAATCAGTCTTTTAACATTTTAGATGCAAAATGAAATGACTTAAATACCTTTAAAAGCAAAAAAACTAAAACTATGGTCCAAGGGCTTTTAGGTCTTTTAATGTGTTGATTGCACAATGAAATAACTACATTGCTCTTAAAAGATAAAGAATTATAATTGATGTCCATGAGCTTTTTCATATTTTCATCATTCTTTTAGTTATAATTAATTTGAATGAGAGACAATTTAGTCTTTTAAAAAATATAAATATAATTCAAAAACTAAAAGTAATTGGTTCGCGCAATGAATGAGATGTGTCCACGCTCTTTGAGAGTGTGCAACATTTATCAACAATCAAACACTATCTTCCTCGATGGCTTGGATGCATTGCGTCGTCCTTTTCCTAGTGGTTAGGCATTTATGCATGATATAGCAGCAGTTCGGTTGCAATGAATTGTTTTCCTTTTCCATGCCTTGGATTTTTGCTAGCTCTTTCAAAAATTAAATGTGTCTTGTTAGTTTGTATTTGTATCAATTTTAGTCTCAATTCTTATGATTGTTGATTGTTATTTGATTTGCTTTTAATGTTTTTTTAATTTGATTTATTTTTTCAATTTTGTCTCTTAGTATTTTATTTCATTTAATTTTCGTATTCAATTGGATCCTTCTTATTATTTTGATTGCTAGTTTTTTTAATCTTTTTCTTGATTTATTTGGTTTTCAATTTAGTCTCTTAGCATTTTATTTCATTTAATTTTTTTATCCAATTTGGTTCTCATTTTGTTGATTGCTATTTTTTTGTATTTTTATCATTTCTTGATTTGTTTTTCAATTTAGTCCCGCATTATTTTCATGGATTTGATTTTTATACTGGATTTGGTCTTGATTGTTTTTATTGCTATTTGTTTTGTTTTTAATTTTGGATGATTAAAAATTCTGTTTCATGGTTTTTCCATGTTTGCCTTCTATGAGGCAATTTAATCTCATAACTCGAATCATAAGTTTCGAAGTTAGCCATTTGACTTCATTTTATGTAGTTTTTTTTTAAGTTGATTTTTTTTTTAATTTTAACTTTTAATATTAAGTTATTGGGTCTTGAGTTTTGTGGGTTTTTTTTTTTTTCCCCTGTGGGGTTATCCCGATCTCATATCCTGGGAGGTAAGTTAGTCAAGTTGACTTGGATTTTCAAATTAATTTTTTTTTTCAGTTTTTTCTTTTGTCATTTAGTTTACTTGAGAGTTGACCTTCTTGTTTTATTCAATTTCTTTTGTGCGGGTTATCCCAGTCTCATAATCGAGTTATGAATTTGGCGTACTAACTTGAGATATTTCTTGGTCATTTCTTAAAATGGATTTTTTTTTAATTGAACTTCAGATTTCTTTTATTTTTCTCTTTATGAGATTATCCCGTTCTTGTTTAATTTTTGCTTTGTTATCAATTAAAAATTGTTGAGAACTTTTAAAAATATTTAGAAGGTATTTTTTCATAATATTAGCTAGTGTTTATTTTTTTTTTATCAGTCATTGACATTTTTTTTTCTGGTTTTTTTTTAATCGTTGTTTTTTATCATATTATTAAATTAATCAAGATTGTAATTCCCATATTTTTCCTGCACTTTTAAAAACGCTATGATCGCTTGGGCATCATTTTTTTATGTTAGGAGAAATATGACCCAACTTGTGGCGTACCCAAACCACCTATCTAAACCGCCTTACCTTGTCCATCAATTTATTTTTTATTTTTTTATAATTTTGATCAAGTTTATGATTCATCATGTAGAAACTTAATGAATTAAATTGTATTTATTGTAAAATATGATGATTGAAAAATTTCAATTAAGTTCTTGTTTGTAAAACAAATGAAATATTGAGACCAAAGTAAATTTTCAAGAAATTTTAATGACCAAAATATATATCAGCAAAAATTTCATGCTATGACCATGCTTGTGACATGTTTCAAATTTGAACTGTGTTAGTGACACCAACTAATGAAAATATATAACACAGATGAAAACATAATGTGCATGATTGATACTAAGATAACAAAATAATTGAGGGATCTTTTAACAAAAGAACCGAGTACAAAGCATTCAACCTGAGCAATAAGATCTTCAAATTGTGATGTGGTTTTCAACCCTTAACTATGGTAGGATGTGTTGGAGAAAGATAGTTGAATTGTAGCAAGAATGACAAGATACTTTATGTGTTGGGAAAGAAATAGTTATGGGCTGGAATCTTTTGTCAATCTATGATGAAATGGATGTGGATTGGGATTGTCAACCAATATTTGATGTTCACTTGGATGATGATCTTACAATGCTGACAACATTGATAATGATGTTGCCACTAGAATACTACGTTGAGTGCAAATAGGACATCACAATTGTTTAACAAAAGAAATTTGTTGATTTGCACTATGACGATCATTATGGTTCTAGTGTGATATTACCCTGAAAGTAGAATCAGCAAACGACATTTGATTGTAACACATGTTAATGAAACAAGTTTAAGCTTTGTAGTTCATTACTTTGAGATAGATGGAAGAGAAATAAGTTGCAAGTAGATGTTTCTCATACAATGGGTAACTCAAGCTAATTTTTAGAACTGTTGTAAACTTTAAGCAAGGAAACGAGGGATTAATGAGTCTTGATTTGACACCTATGATATCAGGACAATAATGGTTTTGACTCAAAGATAAGTTTCTTCCAACCTAAAAAGAATGACGTAGGAGCTTTCCTTAAAGTTTATTTTATTTTGTTTCTGATATTAGGTTTATTTAATTAATTTAAGGTCATGTGATTAGGATGTTACTTTCTAAATATTTTTCTTGGAGGTCAAGTTGTTTTGCTTGGAGACCAAGACTGGTGAATCCTTTTCTCACTAGTATTTAGGGCTTCAATTAGTTTATATCGCTGCTAAGGTTATTTATGAAGACATTACATCTTATTTTATCAGTTTATTTAGATTTTCGGGGTTTCTTGGTGGACCCTAAACCTTGTTATCTTGTTCCAACTTCAATATGCTTTATTTTTTAGCCTTTCTTTCACTGTATTTTCTGTTTCATATTGTTTTCCTCTACTCTGCCTTGATTAAAAGTTTACGGGAGTTTCCTCCATTGTTTGTTTTTGGTATGTTAAACAAAAACAGTGTATGATGGCATAAAGCTGAGAGGTGTAACAAAAAGAAAAGAATGACAAGAGAGGAATTTACTGTGCTAATGACAAGAGAGGAGTTTACTGTGCTTTTATTAAAGGAAATATAAAATTGTTTAAAGATTTCTGATTTTTAATGAATGTGAATAGCTTAACTGTGATATTTTTTCATCAAGAAACTTTATTATTGTACTAGTTGATAATCTATGTGGTGATGAAATTTATATGGCCTTGATGGTTTGCACTTTTCAGCTGATTTTGTTTAATGTTGCTTTCTTTGGGACTGGAAATTTTGCGAGTATTGCAAGTTTTGAGATTTCATCGGTGTACCGGTTTATTACTGTCTTCAGTGTAAGTGAAGTTCAACTTCAAACTCTTAAAGTACATGCTGATTTACAGTTTAAAATCAGTTATTGAATTGATATGATTTCCTCTTAATTGCAGCCTTTTTTGATGGCCGCGCTTCTTATCTTCAAACTATTCATACCATTTATGCTTGTTATGTAAGTTTTTTAAAATGTGATCGCTGTTTACTTCACAAGATTAAATTAAATAAAGGTCTCAGTCATCTCACCGAAACTTCATTTTTTGATTGGCAATAGCATGCCTAAAAGATAACAATTCTGCAATAGCATCATCATATACTGGGTCTTTTTTCCAGCACAATAATGTGCATTCCATGCACTTCAAAATGCTAGAGAGATTTGGCCACACCAATAGAATTCCCATTGTAGGGCATGAATCCAAGCCCTAACTTTGGAGATTCAGCTACTCCCCTAGAGAGATTTTTGCCATTTGTAGTATGCTGATTGATTTCTAGAGCATTATAAATAGGCAATCAAATCTTTATGGGATTCTGCTGGTCTTTTGATTGTTATTTCTGCGTGTTCTGAATTCAAATGCAGATGTGCATTCAGTGCTATAACCAAACTACTTCAAGTTCCACGGGTTGGATGCTATTTCCTTGTTATCCTATTTTCAGATGTGATGACCATCCACTTTTTCTTCTTGGTATGATCATCTTCTACTCTTTAAATATTTTCTTAAACTCATCCTTATAATTTTTTCCCCTGAATGCCATCATATGCTGCATGATTTGTCAGTAATGGAGTCATGTCAATCATGTCATTAGCTACGTGGACTTGTCCCAAAAGTTGTGTTCTGCTCCTGTCTTAGGATAAATGAAATAGGAACTTGATTGGTTGGGGCCAATTTTTGTCCCTCCAAAATGGAGCACGAGAGACATGTCTTGAGGACAGTTTAAGTGAATTATTTCTTTAATAATGTCTCTTTAAACATTTCCCATCTCTACCCTATCTTCAAATCTGAACCATTTAATTTACATGAGTTAATTCCCATCATTGGATTTGAAAACTCAAAGATCTAAAAGAAAAAATGTATAAAAGTATGAAAAGTAGTAAGAAGAAGAGGGAGAGAGGGAGAGACATAATCTAGCTAGTTTTTACTATCATCAAATGAAAGCTCTCATCTCATTGAATTCATAGACAAATTATACAATTTGATCAAGGGGTTTCGGAGATGTGGATTCGAAGTTTTTGATCTAAAAACTTCAAAATTGAATTTTTGTGTTGTTTGATTGTTTGAAAACGTGTTTTGTGGTTTTGATTTATGTTTATGAGATTGATGAAAGTGTTGTAACATGTTTATTTTTGAAAAATACTTGAAATTGCATTTTTGTTGGAATCCAACATCCTTAATCCATCCCAATTCCATATACTTAAACTCACTCCTTCTCCAACCCTAGCTCACCATGAATGCATAGCTGGATGCTAAATCAAATCTGTACTGGATATTATGGTATTATGCTAAACAAATTGTACTAGGATGGCATTGAGAAAAAACAAAAAGAGTAGAGGTACAAAGTTTGACCCAATGAGGTTATGTTCACATTGATCTTTGGCAGCTTGCTAGAAGACAGCTAGTTTTTTTCTTGATCGTTCATATAAATTTCAAAATCATAATTTATAATAGTCATCTTAATCTTGTGATAATTTAATTGTAGAATATTAATTTTATTTCATTTAATTTATAATTATCATGAAAAAGTTGTATTGCTATATAAAAAAATCTTTATGTTATATTTATAATAAAAATTAAATTTAAGGGAAAAATAATTTTAATCTTTTACAATTGCTAAAAAGTGGGAAAAAATGTGTTCATGTTTTTCTTCATATAGATAACATAAGAAAAACTTGTAAAGAAAGACCGTGAAAAATCTCTAAAATATATTTTTCAAATACAAATTTAAAAATCTGGAAAAATGGATGGAGAAATGTTGCATTTGAACAGGAAGTTCCATTTTTTTTTCCCTAACTGAAATTGAAGTATTACTATCTGAATAGATTTATACTGTTTTAGAGAATTGGGCATTAAGAAACACAACCAATATGTTAGTATCTTTCTGGGCAACTTATAAATTTATGTTTTTGATGAGAAACAGGTCAGAAATACAGGCAGCTGGATGGAAATTGGTAACAGCATCAGCCATTTTGGGATTGTGAGTGCCCAAGTTGTGTTTGTGCTATTACTTTTTGCACTCACAAACACATACACAAAAGACATCCAAATTGGATCAGCCGGCTCGTCATCTCAGAAAGCAGCTTAACCCTCGAAGTGCTAATTAAGAAATCACTTTTTGCAACAAGGTTTACTGCAAGGTGATTTTGTTGCGCTCGTATGACAGCTTTAATGGATTAAGAACAGCTACGTTGTTTCATTCTTTTTGGTCATTGATTCATCTGAATTCCAATGCTTCTTGTGCATACAAACGAGCTGTTGACCTTTTGGGGATTTTCCAAGTTCCTTCCAGTTCCATTATACAAAAGTAAAGCTGAATTTTGATACCGGTCTTACCTAGACAGGTGAGTTTGCCATTATCCATTTGTACTGATTTTTAACTGATGAATATGCTAATGAAGAACTTTGAATGACTACTTTAGACACTAGCTAATTGCTTACTCTTTCACTGTCCTCTGATTCTTCCCTTCCCTTCCTCTTCTATATTTTCCCCCGGTTCTGATATATATATCGTTGTCCTTGAACGTCTGTGAGCAAAATATCATTTGCATTGGGAACTTGGAACATTACTTATTTATTTTGGACTGTTAACTGGTTGTGTTACAAGCCAAGAGTTTGTTCTGTGCGAAGCTTTATCTATTCCAACTTGCTTTGAAGAATTCAGGAATTTGTATGTATGGCTGTCAAATTTTCTTGGAGACGCAATTTCTCAAATTGATCTTTGGAGGTGTACTTGTTTTATTTTCATTCTAAACGTCTTTGTATATATAAAATATAAGTAGAAACCTAGAAACCACCTTAAAGGGAGAATATGCCAGGTAAGGTCGTTGGAATTGACTTGAAATATTTTTTTTAAAAAAAAAATGTAAAAGTGAGTTTTCCAGGGAGTTCTTTTAATTTTTGTAAGTGCCGGTGTAATGTACTAATGATGTGGTTATTTTTAAGTACTGCCAATAATTAAAGACTAATAAAAATATTTATCTTGAAAGAGTTCCAATCCAAGTCCACTCCCTTCTTTCTCCTCCATTTTTTTTTCTTAATGGAGCTTGATTGGTTTAATGGAGCGATTAAATGATTGCAGCTTGTGTATAGAAAGAATGGACTAGTTCAAAAGGCATATGAGTAGTAGATTCAAGAGTGTGTGGATAGAGAAGTGAGATCCAGAAGAAAGAGGGAGGCGCAAGATGAAGACAAATCGATAAGGTAAATGAGTAGCAGATCCAATAGCGAGTGTGTGGATAGAGAAGTGAGATTCAAAAAAAGAGAGATGAAAGAAAGGTTTACTTGTTTTTACGCTTTAAAAGTGTTCTTTGAAAAAACATTGAATTTTTTTATTTGTTTTAAATTAATATTATTTTAATATTTTTAGATTATTTTGATATTAAAAATAATTTTTTAAAAAATAAAAAATATTATTTTAATTTATTTTCAAATAAAAATTATTTTAACAAATAATCTTACTCCTAAACACAGTGGACGAGTCGGGTGGTTTAAGAGATACCGTATATGAAGAAGAAAAGAAGGGAGCAGCCTCCGTAATGAATAAGCAAAAGAGAGTTTTCACCATGTTTTACCTGCTTCACTCCAGAGGGACGCCGCTTCCCCCGGGCCTGAGAGTGTCATACCACTCGTAGGCAGGACCGTCGAGGGGAAGGGGAAATTGTCTCAATAGCAAAGTTTTCTTTAAATTTTCGTAACAAATACACCTTTACCAACAAAAAGAAGAATAAGAAGAATTCCGAGGGCTAGTCCTCCATTTTTACATTGAAGACACAGTTTTTAGGTTTCATAAGGTGTAAAGTACCGAAGGGCATGTCGGACAAATTCTCAATTCTTTATCCTGGAAAAGCCAAGAAAAATCCTTGTCCACCTATATTTATGTTAACAACACCTTCGCCATGTGACTTCCTCATTGTAATGATTTTTATGAAGATTTTAATCCAAAAAATAACTAATAAGATGTCAGCAGTTACTCTCTAAACACCATATAATTTTTTATTATTATATTCACTCAAACATAAATCAGTCTTAATTAAAATTAAATTATATGAATTTAATAATTTTATATATCATCAATTCAATAATTGATTTGTTTATCTTTGAAAATCAAATATAAGTCTAGTCACATGTCATGACTTTTTAAATATTGGATAAGTTATTTGTGGTTTGACTAACATTCCAATGAATAGTTTTTTAATGTAATTAATATTCTTATATCTATAATTTTTGAACTTAGATATTTAAATAGTATCTACTTTATTAAATCTTACTAACTCATAACATGATAGTCAGACTTCTTCAATAAAATTTCAAATACTTTCAAATCACATTCTATTTTTTATAAAGATTTCATAATCAACATTATTTAAGAATAAGTAAAATATATTTTTAATTTACCAAGGGCTATAAATCCTTTCTTAATTACTTAAAAACATTTATATATTTTTTAATTGTTATCTTTGATTAAAGCATTGAGTAGTTAAAATCAAAACATAGTATTTTTAATATCAAATAATTTAATGATCTCACATATAAAAATCAAGTCTTTTCTTAGACACATGTAACTCTCTATGCATAATTCTAGTATGAGTTAGTTCAATTAACTTGTTAATATACAAGCATGTATATATTTCAACAATACTAATTAATATATGATCTTAATAAAATATTGACAATAAACATTAAGAGTTAATGCTTTGATGAAAAAAGAATTGATATAATTACAATAATTTTATAATTTTATTTTCAAAATACTTTGTCATAATTTCTTTATTTCTACTCTAAAATTATTATTTAAACTCATTTAACTATTAAATCTAAAGAACGCATTTGTTAATAAATAATACTAATATCATATATAACCAATTAATTAGTTAAAAGGTATACATATTAATAAAAAGAGATACAAGAAAATAAATAATAAATAGGCTAAATAAGTGTTATTTTTCCTATACTCAATTCATTTAAAAATTAGTCATTTAATTTTCAACTTTAGACTTGAACTATATTTCATTTGAAATAAAATATTTTTTTTAAAAAAAATTCTTTGCATCTTTAAGTTAACATATTGGAAAATATATTATTTTCTTAAAAAAAGTGAAAAATAACAAAAAAAAGGTACATATGATGCAATAAAAGAACAAAAAGATGCCCATATACTTTCTTTTCTTTTTTTTGCTTTTTTGCTTTTTATGTTGTTGAGTTTACTTTCATATGCAAATGTTTGTTATCTTCTGGAATGAATCCTATAAATTTAGTTGATGATTTGATTTCAAATGAAAATAAATTAAGAAAAGTGAAATCTAAATGGATTAAAATCATTTTTCATTTGAATTAATGATATTTTTTTATATATAGACCATAAAAATAATTAAGAATAAAATAAGAAAAATCAAAAAATAAATGTTGATCAAATTATTTAATCTTGCAAGATGAGAAATTTACCTTGTTGCATTTGCTAAATTTATTTATTAAAACAAATTTGTATTCAATTAAACGATAATAAACATATACATATACATTAAATTGATTGAATAAAATAAGAGAAACAAATTATGCAATGCTACATGTATTAGAAATATCATCTGGAAATAAATATTTTTTATTTTAAAAATTAACTCAATCTATACAAAAGATAAATAAATATAAATAAATCATAAAAACCTTTTTTATAATTAAATACATAGAAAATAACAAAAAATAACCATTTTAAAACACATTCTCGAAACAAAATAAAAGATAAAAGTAGTATTAATCCAACTATAAATAAAAATAATAATTTTAAAAAAACATACGAAAATTCATTAATTTAAAATATAGTAAAAAGATTAAAAAAAAAACTAGATGATTCTAGTTCTATTAAGACCAACCAGTCTATTTGACCTATTTCATCATGGCCTACAATAATAAGCTCTTTTTTTTTAATAGCTGAAATGGATGATAGATAATTAGTCCCAATAGTTTTTGAAAAAACAAAAGATTCATACGACTTTTCATCTGTATTACAAACTTTAATGATTTTGCGATCCAAAAACTAAATTTTAAACTCACTATTAACCGAGCATACCTATAAAGCATAACGGGGAATTTGATAAATTTATTCAAAACCCGTAAAACTATCCTAAAACTTAAAATCAATCAAAAATAATTTTTTTTACTAAGATTAATATGTTTATTTCTTGGCAATTTTAAGATAAAAAAATATATAATATGAGATCTCCTCATAAAACATAATTTGATACTAATTTCAATTGTTTTGAAGGTCAGAATCAGTGCTAGTATAAATTGTTTCTCTTTAGAACTGGATTCTAGTGATTTTCTCTCATCGCTCTTATAATAGAAGTAAAAAAATAAAATAAAATAAAGTTTATGATCAAAATTAATTTTTATTTTTAATTTTAAAAATTAAAAGGACCAAAAATTTATAATTTGTAAAGTATAGGGGTTGCAATAAATATTTTACCGAAACTTTTTAAATTCACCAATTTTCTATGTGTTTTTTTAAATTTAATTCTCTATCTTTTAATTCCACTATCCCACAACAAATTGACTTATACTTCAATATAATAAGAGTCAAATTAAATAAAAAAAAGATAAAAAAATGGTATGTCAACAATGCCATATAAAAAGGCTCTACAATGCATTTTTCACAATAAATCCCTTATTTTAGTTTTTTAGTTAATATTTGACTAAATCAACATGGTACATATAGAATTGTAAACACAATAGGTATTATAATGCTCAAGATCGACTCATACAAATTAAATTGAGTTCGAGTATCGTATCAAGCTTCAAAATATTGTTTAAGAATAATAAAGTTAATAAAAAAATAATAAAAAGCATATTGAAAAAACAATACGCCATAAATTTAGATTAAATAATAAAATAATAAATAATAAATTTTTTATAAAAAAGTTAAAGAAAAAAATATGAAATTAAAAAATAAAATTGGATTGAAAACATTAATATATAATAAATTAGATTTAAAAAATAAATTAAAAATAAAATTTTTGTAAAAAAACCAACAATAAAAACTAGAATTCAAAAAAAGAAGAAGAATGGACAACAAACTGCTCAACTTCCTTCAGTATACACTGCTCGAAGAGGAAAAGAATATTTAAAAGAATAGTTTTGAAAACCTTGAGATGCGGCATCCGCGCTAATAAATTTTTAAATTATAATATTATTTAATTTATAATAAGAAATTATGATATTTTTTAAAAATAAAAAATAACCAAAAACTAATATGAAAAAAAAAAAAAACCAAAGCCATGCATTTCTTTTCTAACTTGAAGAACATTGAAGGAATTTAACTGGATATTCAACCAAGAAACAAAAACTGCCCCGTGGACATGTATTTGCATTTTAGTGTTTTACTGTTATGAAAAAGAAAAAGACCCTCTTACCCCAAGATAGGCGAATTGTTATTTCAGTAAGAAGTAAAACCGTCCTTTCACTGTTAAAATTCACCGTGGAGTGGAATGAGGCTGGCGCTCCCACGCTTTTCCTTCGTTGTAGTATATTTTGTGATGTTCTATCCAGTTTCTCAGTCTCAAAATTTCTCATCATCCATGAAATGTTGCTGTCCCTCAACCACATTAGCTATGCTTGTCCCTCACCTAGAACACACTCATCTTCTCTCATCTGCCCAATCCCCAAAACCTTAATTTTCGAGTACCGTAGTGGTAGTAGTAATCCCTCACTCAAATTCCTCGTCCGGAGCTCCAGTGCCGACAACCCCCAAACCCTCCCTCATTCCGCTATCCAACGCATTGCCGACAAGCTCCGCTCCCTGGGCTTCACGGAAGAAACCGAAACCAAAGCGCCAACCACTGCTGGAGAAATCTTCATCCCTTTACCAAATCGATTGCCCAAGTACCGGGT